CTTTAAATGTTCAGCATACTGTACTGTAGGTGTGCTTTAAATGTTCATACTGCAGTGTAGGTGTACTTTAAATGTTCAGCATACTGTACTGTAGGTAGTAAATGTTCAGCATACTGCACTGTAGGTGTATTTTAAACGTTCAGCATACTGTAGTGTAGGTGTATTTTAAATGTTCAGCATACTGCACTGTAGGTGTATTTTAAATGTTCAGCATACTGCACTGTAGGTGTATTTTAAATGTTCAGCATACTGCACTGTAGGTGTTTAAGTAGAGCACAGAGAAGCAGGAAGTGTTTCTGCTCTTTTGTTGACCTGCATGATGACCAGATGAATAATCAGGGGAACTCCTGTCTGACTGTAATGTTGACCAACTGCACGGTTTCTAACAACAGTCGGCTCTGACTAACTGCTGCCTTCACTCTTTAAACACAGATTGATACAGGGAGACAAAGATCTCAATGGTTTACGCACAAATAAATAAAGACCAGATCCTGATAAAGTCAGGGTAAAAACATTTCAGTAATTTCAGTACTTATTTCCAATTATTTCGCTTCTACTTTCACATTTCTTTCAATCACTGTTAAGCTATTTCTCCATTGAGGCTCTTAATGTAAAACGTCTGTGTAGAGTTTTTGAACAGAAGCTCAGCGGCAAACAGAACAACATCAAAATCTAAATTAATAAGGAAGTGAGCGTTACACTGAATTTATCAAGAATTTTCAAAAATTGAGAAGATTAAAATAAACATAAAAGTTTGGCTCTAAAATAAAGAATAGGACTGCAGGTAATGATTACATTCATAAATCTAAATGTTCTTGTATTTTATATAATAATTTATTAAGCATTTTTTTCTGTAAGAATGACAAAAAAATAGTGAAAAGCACCAAAGCTTATATTAAATAAATTGGAAGCTGCTAATTTCTAACATCCCTGCATTAAAAAAAGACTAAAACAATTATTCAATTATAATAATAATTGTTGATTGATTCAATTATTCATTGACTCATCGTTTAGCTGAATGAACTGTTCAGCTCTGAAACTGACTTCTTTCAGTGACTCTGGACTGATTAATTTCGGACAATCTTTCCTTTCATTTCTGACATCACAGAGGTACTTCCTGTCTGAACTTCTGCACGTGCTCACAGGTGAGAACATCTTTAATCGTCACATTAAGGCTGAGACATCAAGTTAAAACCTGAAACTCATTAATAAACTTTAAACTTATACCAGTCCGTATCTGATCTGAGGTCAGCAGTATGTCGTCTTATCTTTGCTCTGATGTGAGCGCAGCACTCTAAAAAAAAACTTAGCTAAGACAGATTTTTTTCTGAATCGATCAATAGTTGTGTCTCTACAGTCACCAGTCCGCCTCTGATGGATCAATGAACACGATGACATCACACTGTTTCAGCTCCTCGCTCAGTTTAAACGTGAAACTCGACTCTCGTCAATCTCCTGAAAAACTGACTCCAGTCTCCTGTTTCCCATAATCCTACACTGACTCCTCCTCCTCCAACAACGACACATCACATCACAGCAGCACCTGGCAGGTACGGTTACATCACCCTGTCGCCACGGTAACCGACGACACACAAACAGGACGGGATGTCCCAGGAGACGCCCTGGCAACAGTCAGTGACACCAGCAGCATCAAGAGTTCAGAGAAACTGTGACGGAGTTTAATGGACAAAGCAAAAAACACAGACAATAGAATAAAGAGAATTAAAATAATATTTTAATATATAATATTTAATAATTTTTCATTTTAACTTTTGGTTTTGTTTTTTTTTTTTTGTCCTAGAAACAGTTGAATTTAAAGGCGATGTTACAGTCCTTAAACGTGTGCTCATTCAGATTAACTTTTGCACATGTATCTGAGTAGATTTTTAAAATCTGGAAACAGATCTTCGACTTGCAGAATTTTCCCCTGCAGATATTTTGAGCTGAGTAAACGACTGGTTGCTCAGAGAGTAAAAAAACAGCCCCAGCAGAGACCTTGAGTCCTGGGAAACATCCCAAAATAGTCTCTCTCTCTCTCAGCCCCTCTGGACGACAACAGCTGGAGGGATGTTTCCCATGAAGACCAGAGTCCCAACAGAAAACAGATCCAGGACCAGCTGCGGACTTTAATCCTTCTCTATCTGACTCAAACAGGATGCTCTTAAAATGGGACAAAGCAGCAGAAAGCAGCGACGATTACACAACAGACTGAGCTCAAAGGTCCTCCAAGTGTTCAGCATCAGCACATGTGGCTTTCTAAGAGCGTGATGACCTTTGACCTCCAGAGAAAACAGCTGACGGGGAGCTAACAGCAGTATTCGGGGGGGAAAATACCCAACAGGTAGTACAGTCTTACTGCTCTGAAAATAAACAACTATGAGATTAAAATTCACTTTCCAAAACATCCCAAAATTCACAACAAGCTCAGGTTCAACGAATCGAAACTAAAGAGCCGACCATGTTTGAGCTTAAAAACATCAACAGTAAGCTCTGGGAAGATTTGTGTACTTTCTTTGACCCAAACAAAGATGGCAGCTCAAGTAAGCAGTGAGGTCAGAAGGTCAAATATCCTCCGCCATGGTCACCATAAAATACATTTTACAGTCCATCTGATGCTGGTTTTGTTTCATCACTGTAGCCAGTATCTCACTATCACTATCCTCATTCAGATTTTAAGAAGCTGCAAATTATATTCAGCCACAAAATAAGTCTGAAAAGCTGCAAATCAGAACGAAGTACAGAGAGTTGTTGACTAGAGATGATGCGCCGTCTCATGGTGGTCACTTCCTGTCAGAGAATTGTTGAAGCTCTTCAGATGTATAAAACCAGGTTGTTGGCTACCTTCAATTATGTGTCTGTTCCTCGATTACACTGTAAATTATTCATACTCCTTTAGTCTGTAAGGATCCTCAGATCAAAAGAATCGAAAGTTTTTCGTAAAAATCGATCCAAGTTGTGAGGATTGTTTCAATAGGATAAAGTGGTGTTGTGTCGGTATGCAGGGTGCCGTAATACTCAAGTGCCATAACTCACTATCTGTCCGATCCTCTGTCTGTCGGAGCTAGATCAAATTAATGATTCATAATTGATAGATTATCTGAAGCCTAATCTTTAAGACACGTCATATTCATACTGGTTCAAATAAACAACAAATTGATTGCATTTCCTCGGGCTGCCCTCTAATAGTCGACCAAATGTTAGTCGACCAGAAAGGTCATTAGTCTGCAAGATTTCATTGGTTCTTTAGTCGCAGGAAAACAAACATGAAACTATTTATTTGGACTTGTAGTTACACCTGTCAAGTGTTGCTGGAACCCCAAAACACAGGAGCTACAGTTCCGGAAGTAAACAACTGACCACTTCCGGTAGCCATCTTTGTTTGTGTCAACAAGCACACAACTGGAAAAACTGTTCAAAATCTTCTTTACTGTGCATTTGAGTGAATATTTGTTAGATTAACGAGATATTAACGTCTTTAAAGACTTCAGAAATGTCTTTACATATTTAAAAAGTTTTGTGGAGACGAGTTACGGCGACATTAATCGTTTTAAACCATCAAATAACTAATAATAAACAATAATAATGTGTGACTTTAATGTAAAAGTCTCTCGTGTAAAGAGACAAAGTGAAGCTCGGTTCTGTATCATTTTAATATAGAGACCTTTAATCTCACCTGAGACCTGCACCAATTACCTGGACACGTCACAGGAGGTTAAACTAATGAGCTGCTGCTTATTACCGGCCGTTAACGGTTCACACCTGCCCTCCAGGAACATATTCACCTGTTATTTCACACTATACATTCATTAATGTGAGTCAGCTTTAACAGGGAATAAAAGATTCAATTAAACAATATGGAGCTTTACGTGTTTTTGTTTCCCGCTAAAACCAGGTGAGACTGCTAGCTAACACCTTCCGGCTACAGTCAAAGATAACAGGAACCGTTTGTTTTAGAAACACAAAGGAGATAAAATACTACCGTGAGGACCTTCCGGTAACCCCGGCTGGAACAATGCGGAGCCGTGCTATCTGTATCATCCCTGGCAACCGTGCTCCATTCAGGCCAAGCCAAACAAAAGGGCTCCGACACACACCGGGCAGCCCCCGGACACACAGCCGGGGACAGACCGCCTGTTGCCGGGGGCTGCCTCACACACACACACACCTGTGCGACCACGTTAACTCGGCTCAATTATTTTTGCTTTTAATCCAGGTAAATCCAGGTGTTTCTTCTTTCAGTGACAAACTGCGGGTCACTATGCGGAGCGTGGAGCTGCCCTTCACCTTCATTTGTCTCACTAACACACACTCCGCCAAACCCCATTCAAAATTCTGTAGATTAAAGGTAAATTCGCGTGTAAGCAAATAAAAATATCGGCTTTCACCTGGAATATGCTGCTACGAGTTGTTTGGGTGCTGCTGGTAATTTCGGCATAGATACAATCCTTTATTAGGCCATCCATTTTAAAGAAATAGCTAAGTAAAACTTAAAGCTCCACGTTACCGCCCACTACAACATAACGTTCTTTTGCCTTGAGAGATAACAGGAGATGTGGCAATAAAAGTTGAATCTAAATAAAAGTGTCATATTTATGTGTGGTGGATGTACGCCGAAATAAAGATGTGATCTCAACACTTGGTTTGCTTGTGTTTTTTTCGTGTTTACTCGAGTGTAAAGATCTCCAGAATCATTTAATCTTAATTTTCCAATGGTGTCTGGTGCGGGTGATCTCCGCTTACAGCACAGAAGGGCCACCTTTGCCTCTCCGGAGCAGGAGGGCAGATCAAGTTGCTTCGGTTTGCATTTACATTTTCTGTGCAGGTTCAACAATGAGCGAGCTGTTAAAATCACAATATATTCATTAATCCACCGGTTTGACCGTTAAGTTGATGAAAACACCTGTTTTTTAAATGACCGTCGGTGAGGAGACAGAAATGTTTGGTCCCGGGCGGAGCTGCCGGAGGAATGTCAAGTGTTGGGCTCATTAAAACAGGCTTACCTGCAGGTGTGGGCTTCATCAAATTATCCGTTAGAAAAACATGGCACAAAAACCCGCTTATATCTCCGGTCCCGGTCGTTGCTTACCGGCTCCTGTGAGCACTTTGTATCCGACAAACACAGCTGGTGTTCGGGTGCAGGAGCGAGCAGTGAGCGGCTCTGCTCTCCGGAGATGTGACTCCTTAAAACTACACTTGACTTTGAATTGTGTTAAAAACCAGCAGCAGCAGTCAACCTGACCGGAGACTGTGGGCGGAGTCAGCCCTGCGCATTGGCTGACAGGCAGTCCAGCTGCATTAGAGGACACGCCCCATTCACAGTTACTGATACTCACAGGTACTGCAGCACTAATACCACACTGTGGAAATACTCTGTTACAAGTTAGAGTACAAATGTATTAGCATAAAAAATACTTAAAGTACCAAATTTACTACAGCATAGAAATACACAAATTATTGTTGCACTGAAGTGTTCATTTTAACATTAAAGCTGCAAGCGGTGATGAACGGGGGTGCTAAGCCATCACCAAGGCTGTTTTGGCCAAATTTGAGGTGAATCTCGTCGACTTTGTATAGCCCTATTCAGACGGGATTAGTTTAACGTGGAGACGTGGGGTGAAGTAATTATTACCAGGGATTTTAGTCCCGGCCGAACACGCCATGTCTGTAATCATTGCAGATAATGTCAGTAAAAAGTACGGCGACTTTTAACTTCTGAAAAACGATCCGGAGAAAACACCTCGGGTAATATTAATCCTGTGCGAACGCGATCCGCTGTAAAAATGTATGTAAATATTTCGTCACGTCCTATTTACAACCATTTTTCCACATTTATGGTCGCCCCCCTCATGGCCCAATTGTTGAAAAACGCGCGCTAAAGTGTCCTCCTGGGAGCCAAAACACGTGCTGAAGTGCCCTCTTGGCAGCCAAAATGCCCTCCTGGGAGCCAAAACGCGCACTAAAGTGCCCTCCTGGGAGCCAAAACGCGCACTAAAGTGCCCTCCTGGGAGCCAAAATGCGCGCTAAAGTGCCCTCCTGGGAGCCAAAACACGCGCTAAAGTGCCCTCTTGGGAGCCAAAATGCCCTCCTGGGAGCCAAAACGCGCACTAAAGTGCCCTCCTGGGAGCCAAAATGTGCGCTAAAGTGCCCTCTTGGCAGCCAAAGTGCCCTCCTGGGAGCCAAAACGCACACTAAAGTGCCCTTCTGGGAGCCAAAATGTGCACTAAAGTGCCCTCCTGGGAGCCAAAATGCACGCTAAAGTGCCCTCCTGGCAGCCAAAACGCGCGCTAAAGTGCCCTCCTGGCAGCCAAAACGCACGCTAAAGTGCCCTCCTGGGAGCCAAAACGCACGCTAAAGTGCCCTCCTGGGAGCCAAAACGCACGCTAAAGTGCCCTCCTGGGAGCCAAAACGCGCGCTAAAGTGCCCTCCTGGGAGCCAAAACGCGCGCTAAAGTGCCCTCCTGGGAGCCAAAACGCACGCTAAAGTGCCCTCCTGGCAGCCAAAACGCACGCTAAAGTGCCCTCCTGGGAGCCAAAACGCGCACTAAAGTGCCCTCCTGGGAGCCAAAATGCGC